GTAGTGCAAGGTAGCTTATCAAGCGAAGGATCACAATTATAGCCACAAGTGCTATCACATCTATAACGAGGTTGTCGGGATTCATTCCCAATGTAGCCAATACCGCTTTACCATTGTTCGGACATGTCAGATTCATGCAGCCTAAAACACTGCACGGGTAATATACATCGCGTACATGACAGAAGTTTACTATTTTTCATATATGACTGTTTTAATCAGTAGGAACTAAAATTGCTTCTCAGACAGCGGAGCTGCATTCAAAGCATTAGTGGAGTTATAGCCCTTGGTCAATTTCAGCTCATGATCATACTTTGATAGTGTAAAACACAGTTATTACGATTATGATATATAATGTTTTACAAAGCAAGGCGTAGAATAAACCGAAACAGTTCTGTTTCATTGCAAGGATCCTAAAAGATACGGCCTTATAAATGCCATTATTAGCCTCGTACTGCGAATTATGGCAGAGGTTGTAGAGAGAAAGAGATTACTAAGAACTCATAGCGCGATTGTTCTTTATGTCATCGTTATGTAAGGCTAACTACACCAGAAAAATACAGCTTTACAGATTCGTGATCTCAGTGCAAAGCTATCTTTATCACTTTTCGTAGTGTTCTGAACTCAGGGTTTAACAATCATTCTGATCAGTGAGTTTAGAGGGATAGCTAAACGAGGTGTCTATTTCTGAATGAAGCAAGGTAAGTGTAAAGATTAACTAAGTGTACATACTGCCGTAAAAAATATGACATGCTAAAGGAAAGTGACACCGTTTTAATCTTTATAAACACATGGCGTAAATATTTGAAAACGTGTTTCCTTGGAAACCAGTATCCTAATTCTCACAGCTCTTACACATAAAGAACGAGATGATTTAGAAGTCTGGAAAAATATGTCAAGACTAAACCAACAGTGGTCTTCATTTTTCAGCACAGATTAATACCATCTGTGGATTCTGAAAGCTTCGCTTAGTAAATATATTTTTCACGCTTCCAAACTGTCTCATTCTTCATTTGTAAGAGCAGTAACAATTTTAGTTTTTAATGATCTTCACCAGATTTGAGAAAATAATTCAGACAGCAGAATAATTAATGAAAAATACCTGGGATGTAGTCAATATTCTGCCATTCATTAATTGCCAAGGCTTCGTAGCTGTACTTGAATATAGACAGATACTGTAGCCATTTGAAATAAATCGGTACCGACCTAAATAAGTCAAATTAAAACAATGTGACAGATTTAGCAAGATAAGTGGATCAGAAACTTTACACTCTACTATTTGATAGATGATAAAAGTGACAAGATTCGAATAAAATGTATATTAATTTCATACATGATGAATATCGTGGCATAAGAAACGAAAGTTATAGGTAATTTGTTGCAATGAGATTTATTTTTATCACCGAAAGGTAAACGTACCACATACAAATACAACGAAGAAGTTTCGACTGGCATTTCAATTCTCATCAACTGTCATAGTCACCATGTCTCAGATTTTTTGAGTTCCTTGTGCACCACTCACTGAATTCAAACATTATATTCTAATCGTTACTATTTGCAAATAAAACACCACGGTAAAAAGCCGTGATTAAGAATAGGATGAATAGTCAATTTATGCATTGGCTACGATACAGTTTCAACAGATAAACGTTAAGCCAGCATATCCATGACGCGCAGTTGCTGTGCGTTCATAGGTGTGTAGAATCAACTAATTCGGTGTACAGTGTAAATGACTATGTACCAATTATACCGCATTATCGGCTAAGCCTCAACCCATATTTAAAGCAAACCATAGGCTTAAACCTGGAGTAACCACTGGAATAAATGCAGGCTTAGCTATAGTACGGTAAATGTTACATATTGGCATATTAATTTCAGTTCCTACTGGTATGGACGAATTACCAACCTTTAGTATATAACTCAAATTATTATAACTCTAATTATTCCTCTGTCCTCTTGTTTTTTCTTGTACCGCCGATTTCAAGAGACGGTCTTTCAGCAGTCAACTTTTGAATTTAGTAAAACGGAAGTAATTTAAATTAACAAGGATAACAGTAAGCGCTGTTTACTGCTTATTACTTTTGATTCTGGAAGAAGCCTCCAAACAATAGGCTCGGTATGATTATGACAGATTGCACGGTGAGAGCCACTTCGATGCTGGCGAAAGCGGTTGATGTGAAATATCCTGAAAAAATGATAACTTGTACAAAATCGGTATACATAAGCTGCTTATCACTCCAATCAGCCATGTTTTCATGTCTGAATAACGATTACTACTGTGATGATAATAATGCTGATCATTAATCAAAACGGTGCATATGGTCATACTCAAAATTAAATTAACAAGCAGAGCAGACACTTTAAAATTTTTTTATTTCACAGATTTACAGTAAGCAACTTCTAGATATTATTACGCAGTACAATTGTCGGTTCGCTAGTTAAGTGGTTTTGCTACTGCCAGTATTTGCGTAACAAATGCGGGTCCTTTTTCCAGGTTTCCGATACTAGACTTGTGTTCATTATGAGTGCGCTAGGAACATTAGTCGGTGTTATTCCACTGAACGCTGTTCACCATCTGTTAATCGACTGTCGAATTTGTGCGCTCGGAATGCGTTTCCATAAAGGAAACTGGCGCATTCTTTATACTAGTTTACACTGAGCAACTGCATCGTGATGTTGTTTCAAACGGCGAAGGATGCCATTGCTTAAAGTACATATTTATCGTGGATGCAGAATCAATTCATTGTGTTATGTTGAAGAGTAACGTCTAGTAGCAGGTCAGAAGATACTATCTTTGTTCTACATTTTTATTTAGCAGGATCATTTTCAGAAGCAATGACCATGATTCTGTGTCATATGGGCAGGGCTACGTCCAAATAATGAAGCTGTCACTATGACTAGGATTTCAAGATTTAATTCACGCAGTGATCCATCGTTTAGCGTGCAAAACGATACTGTGAATGAAGGCCGTGAATTTCTTGAATACACTGCAGTGAACGCTTGTATATTTATTCACAAATTTCACAAACTTTGAGGAATATTAAACGGCCAGTTCACCGTTTCTAACACTCGAATTTTGCTTACCTGTTTGATGTGAGTTGATCGCTAGATCGCTAGAGTGAGTATTGAATGATGCATATATTTCTCATAAACTAGTAAGTTGCGATGTGCATATGGATACTAATCTTAATGAAGCTGAAAGAAGTCCCTCGACCGATAAGGCTCTAACTGTTGGCCGCTACTTAATGACAATCAGGCTATAACGATATAGTCAGCTGTATATCATTCCATGTATTTAAATTTACTGTTTACAACATGTGCTGAACTGGCCGTCCGTAGAACCTGAAGATGACCAAGTATTACCAAGTGAAGCAAGTATCTCGACCGTCTCTGTGTCAGAACTCAAATTATCTTCTGCCAAATCTCAAGCGCTGGAATGAAGGACAGGGAACGTTGTAAATACTGTGTGACACGTCTACCATCTTTAGCTGGAAGGATAGGCGGTCATCTAAACCGACTGACTTCGAACCAATTACTCAGTTTCGATGACCGTTTTCCCTCTTCAGTTTCATGCCTGACATGTTGCACTTTGTTGCGAGCCATTAAACCGAGCGCTAGAAAGTAAGATCGTCTGCAAACAACAAATTTCCCGTTTCCACATCTATTGCGCCTGAATATCCCATTCATGTAAAACACAAACAATCGAGCGACAGAACGAAGTTTTGATGGATACTGTGTGTCACCGCTGAGAGGATAATTAATGCCATTTACTCTGGCGCAACAACTACTATCAGCATATGACAACTGGATGGTTAGTAGCGATTAGCCAGCGATCCCAGATGTTTGCAGGCACGGGATTCTCAGCGTCCGCAAAGCACATGCAAACCGAAAGAGCGAACTCTTATGAATTCTCAACACTCTGGCATATAGTGCACATCTTGTCAGACATGTTCTGCCTGGACCGAAGCCAATCTGTTTTTATGGATCTAGAGTCAGATATTTCACGGCATCTCCGTTTTAACACCTTCGTACAGGCATTTCCCCAGAGGCGCAATAAGGTAATACCTCGAAAATTAGAGAATCCCTATAGTCTCCTTTCATTAACAGGGGTAATGAAATCGCTGTTCTCCAGCCCTCTGATGTCCCACCCGTAGCCACTGAAGTTTGACATACACATCGATTCCAACAGCCTTTGCACTTTTCATGATTTGAACAGTTTGTGTGAATTCATCTACAGATAGACTAATAACCGTTCCCTGCTGTTCTTCAGGCGAGTCTTGATGCGGTTGCTGTGTGTTAAGGAGTTCCTCAAAGTACTCTTCCCATCGCCGAAGAATGCCATCATCCTTGGTAAGAGGGTGTCTAGAGCTGTGCTTCTTACAGGACTCTTAGACTGCCCTTCTTTTCACCTCGGAGCCGGCGAATGGTCTGCTAGAATATCTTGTTTGCCATTTGGAAATTCGACTCCAACACCTCAACGTTTCCCAGGAATCAGTTTTTGCTTTGTCCACTGCCTTGCGGCCTTCTTCGTACTGCATTCGAGTTGAACTCCGTTTGCTTCCAAATCATCTCAGATCGAGTGCAACCGCCTTTTAGCTGACAGTCATCTGCTGTCTACCGGAAACTTACTGTGACTACGGGGGCGGCAGGCCAGTCCGTTTTAAACCGCAGCGTTTCGCGGCTACCGTAATCAAGCTGCTCTCAAAGAGCTCTCAAAGAACTCGGTTTGCATCATCGGTCATCACCGGGATCTATTCAAACCGTGCGATGTTGTTTGCATAATATTTACAGAAAGCAGGGTTTCCCATTTGATTTTCTGGTCGCTTCTGCCATCAGGTCTTCGAATATTATTCCTTCATTGACAGCGTAGCATGCCGACAACTAAGTGATGTTCAATTGATAACTCTGCGCCTCTCTTAACGTGAACATTCATTACAGTGTCGTAATTCAGATGATACGATTATTTAATCGATGATAGACTTCTTTACACAAGCTTCTCCATATCAAGAATAGCTATATACATTTCGATGCTCGAAGAACGTGTTCATAATGGGCAGTCCGTTGTGTGTACAAAACCGTAATAACTTCATGCACTGTTGTTGAGGTCGCTGGTTTTAATTAGCGACATTGGATTGAATTTCTTGTTTACGGCAATATGTTGGTACTGAAAAAAATTTATTCTTTCCAAGGGAATTGAACGGGACACTGTTAAAGTGCAAAGTAAGCTACTCCACTCCCACCGCATCCCCATGCCCGCATCATATTCAACAGACGACTCAAGTATTTATACGAAATGAAGGACCGCATAAGCAGATACTGTCGCTGTTACTATCGTAAACCACTCATAACATTGTATTTGAGTCACCCGTTGTAAACAGGTTGGGCAGCGGAGGCTATGTCAAAAATTGATACCAGATTATCAAGAACATTTCAGGTGGGGTTAAAATAATTAACTACAGACAACGGCCAGATGATTTGGTCATAAAAAATAGCAAACTGCCGGTAATTTCTTTGAGCAAAGATAGCAATTTTTATTAACACCAAGTTAATGAAGCACCGGCACGATTGAAAATTTTCTGATGCTCCTGTCCCGCAGCATAAACGAAAGAGCGGGCTTTGCAGACGGATGGACTCTGCGTAATTTTGTGGAGTAAGGAACTCATCCTGATTAATTGCTCTGGTGTCACCGGACGAAATATCAGTAGCTGAATAATAGACTGGCGGGGTCTGGGTTATACATGCACATCCTGGTACCTTCGTTACAGAGCTTTCTTTGTTATACCAAATGCTTTGCAAGATTATATATTCAAATGGGCATTTATAAATAAACACAACTTACCTAAAGAAACTGCGCAATGTGCGCATAAAATGTTGATTCCTGCAGCGATGAAGAACGCGGAGGCGCTTGGATACAGTGCTATAAGATAATGCACACAGATGAATACACATTCAATGTGGTTACCTGCCATCCAATAGAGTATCGATGTAAAGACGAAAGCGAAAACGATATAGTGAGGAAATTCACTCATTGACTTAGCCAAGTAATAGGTGTCGACCCGGTACGTGTGACTCAGGTGCTCTCGCCAAAATATTGGAAGTTCTTGACAAAACACCTGGAAAAACAGACGTGAAACGGTACAGTAATGAAGACTGCCTAAAGAACTGAACGTACGTCTGCTACGCTGAAGGCGAAACTAAATACCATGTTGCTGACGAACACGAACAAGACACCGTTGATATTTTGGATGGTATTTTTGTTTACCACGGTGTTCAGGTACACGAGACCGAGGAGAATTGCAATCACCTTCACATAACGAGTCTGGCATTTAAAGCGACGCACCAAAAAAAGTAAACTTACTATATTTTGGTACAGCCGCATTTTCATAATCTGAGGTTCGCGAATACTGTGAAGCGTCGCTCGCCAAAAGAGAACGTAAAACTGGGTGCACCATGATGCTTTGTACCTGAAATGTTTAGAAATTCAAATAAATACCGAAGAAAAACGACAGGCTTCTTTGAAATGTTGCACAAGTGGTTTGTTATCAACAATATCTAAAGCAAATGACAAAGCCTACTATCCGTTCTGAAGACTGGTTTCCAAATAAAGAAACTAGTGGACGAATGAAGGCAAAAGGCATGGAAAAATTAATCAGCAGGAAAAATTGAATGACTGAGTGATCAAAAGAGTGAACGATCGAATGATTAAATATATGACCTATTACAATTACGCATAATATGCAATCTATCTGAATGAATAACGTACATGATTTCTTTATGCGGGAGATGATATAATGCTCTGGTAAGTCACAAAAGGGAAAACAACGCATAAAATGTTTTTTAACAGTACTCCGAACACGGACCGAATTTAGTTTGAAGCATCACGTGGCCCTTATTAAAGAACATTTTATGCGTTGTCTTCCCATTTGTGACATACCAAAGCATCTGAATATTAAAAATGCATGTCCTTTGTACCTGTTGATGGAAATAAACTTAAGGCGAAATTATTCACAAGTTTACATCCCGAAGACAAAAATGGCGAATTGGCATAGCTGCTCACGACGTTGATTTAAATGAAAAACAAACTACAGGATTTTGACTGATGAAACGTTTGTGTTCAGCAGAAATTTGGTTCCGCCTCGGCGTCGGCTCAGCACTGAGGAGTTGCCATTTTTGTCAAAATCTACGACGAAAACGGAAACACGATGTAACCAACATTTTTAGTTGAAGGTAAGTGAAAAATACGTTGAGTTAATTCTGGAAGAAACTTTTACAGACATCAGTAAGATTTTCTAACAACATAGGCAATTATACAGTTCGTGACCATAATGGACGGTCTATGAGGCAGTAATAGGAGATTCAAGACTTCCTAGAAAACAAGAAGTTAGTCTTCCAGACTTATCTGTTTGCAATACAGCGACTACTCACTCGTTGACTTTACAGTTTACATCGAGTTTTATCTTACTAAGCTCTGAATAATCGTCAACCGTAGTTCAGTCGCGTGATCAGAGGCGCAGTTATAGAGTGGCAGAGAGGTTCGCTTCGAACAGTGGAGGTGTCGGGCTGAAATCTCAAAAGGGCCACAGTTGTCTTAGACGTTAATTTCGTTTAACAAGGAATACACCCGCGTGCTTTGGTGCAACCAGCCAAGAAACGGGTAGCAAACCGCTGCCTTACCAACAACACAGACATTTT